AATAGAGCTATCTTATACTCTTATAATTATTACCCTACGTCGATTCGATAATTCTTACTAATATATCGATACTTTTAATAGTCTTAAATCGAATCTTCTTATTATAATAACTCTATAGAAGTTTAAAATTAATTTCGACTTCTAAATAGCGAATAAAGCGTCTTATCTTAATATATTATCTCTTATTAAATTATAGAAAATAGTTTAAGCTAAATCTTTATTTTCTATTAAGATATAGTAGTTAATATTTATTAGAATTAAACTTTAATTTATATTATAACGTCTACTTTATATAAACTTCGTTATAAATTTAACGAAGAGCGTTATAGTTTTTCTTAATAAAGTCTTCTATTATTAGAAGGTTTATATTATCTACGAAGCTAATAACTATTATTTTTAAATTAACGCGACTATTATATTTATTAATAAGATCTAAGTTATAAAAGAGATAAAGTATAGATAATAGCGATAATTCTTAAGAAATTTTGATTACTATAAGAGTCTTTATTATAGAGTATTCGCTTATTTTTAATACTATTATTTTATTAGATAAGAACGATTCTATCTAGTTAACTACTCTTATATTAATTTTTTACTTTTAAAGATTATAAAGTAATCGAGAATAAGAGACTTTATTATATATATTTAAAACGTCTAGTAGTAATATCGTAATTACTTTATTAGAGTTCTAGATCTAATATATTCTTTCTAGAAGATAGTAAATACTATATTTATATAATCGTAATCTACGACCTTCTATATATATAATCGATAGAAGTTTATATATCTTTATAAGATATACTATTCTTCTAGTAAGAATAAACTCTATTACTTTTTCTATAATATTAAGTAAAGCTATTAATCGATATTCTTTAGAAATCCAATAGTTCTTACTCGGCTTCGAAAGAATAATTATTATCGATATTCTAAAGTACTCTAAATAGTAGTTATTCGTTATATATATATTAAATATTCTATATAAATAAGAGAGTAATAACTTTAGAATCTCTTTAAGAATTAGATTAAAGATCGTATCTTTTCTTAAAACTCTCTTTAATAATATTTATATTATAATCTTTTTTATCTTATTTATAATAACTATACTTATTAGATAAACTTATAGATATATTATATTAATATTAATATTATCTAACTTCGTCTATATTAATAATAAGAAGAATATTCTTATAAGAAGATCTATCTTCGAGTTTAATTCGTTATATTTTTATTTATCTTTATTAAATAGCGAAGAGAGATATATCTATATTATAAGTTATTTTCTAATCTACTTAATCTTTTTTTATATTATTTATAATAACTTATACGTCTTTATTATAAACTCTTTAAACGCCTTTCTAATAGTTCTCTTAATTAGATTATTTTTAAAGTTTTTAGCGACTTTATATTTATTCTATACTTTCTTTAAAAGCGTTATTCTTTAACTTCTTTTTAGTAATTTATAATATCTTTATACTTTCTTATATTCTAATATAAATTTCGATTTAAACTATAGTAATAATCTAATAATCGAAGTAAACTTCTTTATAGCCGCTTAAATAGAGTTAATAATAATTACTATTTAATAATCGATACTATCGTTAATAAGATTTTTATTATTTCTCGAGGAATTAACTAGATACTCTTTCGATACTATAACTCTAGCGAGTATTTCTCTTAGAACCTCGACGTTTAGTTTATTAAAGTTTCGATATATTATTAATACTAACTCTATTATAATTAGCTTAAGCTTTATAAAAATTAGAAGATAGTTAAATTCGCTTTCGAAATTATTTTCGATATTATAATTAATAATATTTATTATTAATACTAGAGTAGCGAATAATAGATCTATTATTATTTAATAGTTTTCTTTATATATTACCGTTTCTACTAGTAATACTTATTCTATAGCGAATTCTTTCGCTATAAGTATTAGTTCTTCTACTCTCTTATTAATATAAGTATTTAATTTCTTTTATATTATATAATAAAGATTAAAATTATCTAGTATAATCTATTTATTATCTTTAGACTCTATAAGCGTCTTATATAATTTATTAAATTTATCTATTTATTAATTATCGAGATTATAAATATTATATATATATATAATTCTATTATTTTTAAACTTAATATTAAGAGTATAGAGGTTCGATAAGTAATATAATAAGTACTATTATTTTAATAATATTCTCTTATTAATATAGAAGTATACTTATATATTATTATAATAGAGATAAATTAAGTTAAATCTATTCTTTAGAGAATAATATAATATATTTATATTAATATTTCTCTAGAGCTTCTAAATTACTACTATATCGATATTATAAATCTTTTTATTATTAAAAAATTCTATTATAATTATTCTAGATTTTCTTATATTATATTATAGTATTAATAGCTAACTAAGATATACTATTATTTCTTAATATTATTATTAATATTATTTACTCGCTTCGTCTAATTTATAGAATTCGCATTTTTTTTCTAAGTATTCTTCTTTTCTTAGTTATCGATAAATCGAATATATCTCTTTTTATTCTTATTAACGAAGATTATAATTCTCTTATTATCACTCTTTTAACTTAAAGACTATTTATCGTTCTCGAAGTTATTAATTTCCTTTATTACTATATTATTCTTATATTATTTAACTTTATCTACATCTGCAAATTTGAAAAGTTTCTATAAAATTTGAAATTACTAATCGCGCGTATATCGCGGAAATTATAAAATTCGTCGAATTAGTAAATCTAATTAGAATTTATTTAAATTTCATTAATTTAGTAACTATTTTAATCTTTTTTACTAGTTCTATTAGTTTAGTAGTAATACGTATAAAAAAAGAAAAGTTCTAATAATCGACGTTGCGACGGTAAGGTTTTACGGCGACGAGTATTAATATTAATTTAAATTTGGTTACGAAATTAAACGATTTAATAAAATTAGTCGCGTAAGTAATACTCTAATATAACGTATAATAATACGTATATTAATAATAATATATATTAATATTATTATAATATATATATAGAATAGTACTTAGAGTATATTAGAGTATATTACGCAAAATTTTTAAAGTTACTAAATTTTTTTTAAAGTTACTAAACTAGTAGAATTAACGAAAAGAGTTAAATATAGATAAAGTCTACTTAATAGGCTAAATCGTGCTAAATTATACTTATAGTACGGACCCGGCGAAAATCGTATGGAAATTTACTTTTTAGATTTGTAGATATATTACTTTAAAGAGCGATCTATTTCTAAATAAGATTCTTATTAATAATATAGAAATATATCTTTTTTTACTCGACTAAAGATTTAATATAATAGTTCTTTCGAGATTTAACGCTCTAATTTCTTCTCTACTAACTATTCTATCTTTATCTACTAATCTACTACGCGTAAATATTAATCTTAAAAAAAATTCTTATTTCGCCTACGATTAGACGTATTCTAAAAATAATTATTTAATTAATCGCTTATTTAATAGCTAGTCGATATCTTCTTCGTTATTATAAATCGTAAAAGAGTTTATTATCTCATTATTCTTATTCTCGCTATCTTTCTCTTCTTTACTATATATACCTTATTTTAAGCCTTATATAATTCCTCGCAAATTAAATATTTATAAGTATCGACTATATATTCTTTATAATAATACTTCTCTAAGTATTTCTCATATATTAAATAATTCTTTTTAGAGTATATAGTCGATAAATAATTATATTTTTAGTATACGAAGTATTACTTTAATTTATACTACTTATTATAAACGTAATAATTATATAATTTTAAATCGATAATTAGATCTTCTTCTAGTACTCTATTTTTTTTCTCTAGAGATACTAATTTAATAATTAATAAATTCTTATTATAACTTTCTTTATTCGCGTCGAATTAGTCTAGTTATACTATATCGAGACTTAGTATATTAATATTCTTATTCTAAACTCTTTTAATTATTATAATTATATCTTTAATATTAAATATATTAATTCTTATTTTATAAAGTAGAAGACTATATATTTTAGTAATTACTCTCACACTATTACTTATCTTTAAAGTCTAATTCTTACTTTCTCTTAATCTATTCGCTTTCTTCTTATTTATAGTTATAATATATATATCGTTACTCGCTAGCCTTCTAGTCGTTCTAATTAATTTTCTTATAATATTTATATTTTTTATATATTTATTAATTATCGTAGTTATTTTACTCGATATCTTTCTCTTTAATATTTTACTTATTATCTTATCTTATAACTTTATAATAATCTTATTTAGCTTATTATATAATACTTAGTTTTATTTTAATATTATTAATAATATAATAGAAATTTCTTTAATAATAAAGAAGAATATTAAGAATTAGTCTAGTACGCTAACGTAGCTAGCTATTTTTTTTTTTTTTTTTTTTTTTTTTTTTTTTTTTTTTTTTTTTTTTTTTTTTTTTTTTTTTTTTTTTTTTTTTTTTTTTTTTTTTTTTTTTTTTTTTTTTTTTTTTTTTTTTTTTTTTTTTTTTTTTTTTTTTTTTTTTTTTTTTTTTTTTTTTTTTTTTTTTTTTTTTTTTTTTTTTTTTTTTTTTTTTTTTTTTTTTTTTTTTTTTTTTTTTTTTTTTATTATTTTTTTTTTTTTTTTTTTTTTTTTTTTAATATTTTTTTTTTTAATTTTTTTATATTTTTTTTTTTTTTTTTTTTTTTTTATTTAAATTTTTTTTTTTTTTTTAAATAAAATTTTAAAAGGTTTTTTTTATTTTTTTTTTTTTTTTTTTTTTTTTTTTTTTTTTTTTTTTTTATTTTATATTTTATATTTGTGGGAAAGGTTCCCTATGCGTCTCCGTGACTGAAGGGGCACATAGGAAAGGCTGCCAGAGTCAAAGAACTACCCCAAAGGGGCTTAGCGGTATTGGCACATCTGAGGGACCGAGGCAAGAAAGAGGAACGAAAGTTTGATAATTTTTTGAGACTGAGAAGACATGCTTTCATTTGAAGCCAATGTCATCGGGGAGAACGACAATCGATGGCTTATTGCAATGTCTTTGTCCAACATCGAGTAGAATCCCGCGGCAAGGCTTCAATGAGATCTCACGGCCAGGTGCGAGAAGTCTGATAGTATGTCGAAAACTTCACCCACGCCAGACCCACACACAAAGCTTCCTCACAAGCTCTCGAACTGTTCCGCGTCCATTACGCCAACCCGGAAACCTTCAAGCTCAGCGGTGCGCTCATCAGAAACCCTCCTTCGTTGGCCAGCATGTCCGTGATCAAGACCGTATAAGGCACCTAGACATAACATCTGCATATCAAGAGTTGCGGAGGTCAACCCTGCAAGGTCATTATGCCCATATTCGAGATTGTGTGAAGATATTGGTGAAAGAACGCGGTCAGAAGCCGAATTTGCGGTTGTACGATGCATTGCTGCTTGCCAACACGGATCATCAGTATGGCTCAGCAGGAGAGGTTGCTAGGATCTTAGATGAGATTGCGGTGGAAGGTCTTACCCCGGATTCCGCTACATATCATGCTGCTTTGACGGTGGGATATTGCGCTAGAGGATTCAGATATGCTTTGGCTGACACCATACAGGCTCTTGCTGTACATCCAGACTGCCTGTTGAGGCAACGCATACTCGAAGAACTACGCCAACGATGGTTTTCCTTGACCAAAAACGGCTGGCACGACGTGGTTACGGGCCTGATCAGAGAGCGACAGCTAGAGCTTGCGCTTGATACTCTGGACCAGATGCAGAAAGAAGGAGCCAAAGTCGACTCTTGGCTTTATGACCTGATCATATATACCCTTTGCTCTGCTGAAGAATTCGACTCGGCAGTCAACCTAATGCAACACCGCATCTCGTCAGGCGAATTCAACATCTCAGCGACCCTGTGGTACTATTTGCTCGACACTGCCTCACGCGCCCTACACCATCGAGGCACCCTCTTTGCTTACAGGGCGAGGGTCGAGAGCTCGTATCTCAATCCTTCTGCTGGAATCTGCATCAATATAATTTCTACTGCAGCTCGTCATGGAGACATTTACCTCGCGACGTCCGCCCTACGTATCCTAGGTCGCCGATCAGGCAACCCTATCCAGCTCCACCACTACGAAGCTTTACTAGAAACATACGTGACCGCCAAGGACATTCGCACTTCGTTCACTCTCCTTACCATCATGACGGCTGCCGGCCATCCTCCAACAACAGCGTCTACTCGGCCCATATTCACCCATCTATGCCTGTCGCCCAGTCTGGTAGCTACAGCAGTCTCAATACTCGAAGAACTCCGCGAGCAGGACCGTCAAATCCCGATACAGGCTATCAATGTGATAATGGAAGCGTACATAGCTCACCATGACCTCGCCTCTTCTCTTTCAATCTACAAGGCCTTGCACAACTTTGGAGACTCTCTTACTCCCGATACTGCAACATTCAATCTTCTTTTTCGCGGCTGCTCGCAAGCTGCTCGCAAAGACCTTGCCATGTTCCTGGCTTCTGAAATGGTGGCGCTAAAGGTCGTGCCGGACAGACTCACGTACGATCGGCTCACATTGGTATGCCTCAATAGCGAGAGCAGCATCGACGATGCCTGGCGCTATTTCGAGGAGATGCGTGGCCTGGGATGGTGGCCTAGACATGGTACTGCAGTGTCATTGGCAAGGAGAGCCTGTGAGAGAGGCGACCAAAGAGTCTGGAGGCTTGTCAGCGAGGAGGGAGGTGAGGGAGTCCCGAAGTGGAAAGTGGAAAGTCTGATCCACGAATATTGGAAGGATGGCTCTGAAGAGCCCGAAAAGGAGATAAATCCGGAAAGGCGTGAGGGAGAGTAGAGATGCTCGCTCTCATATTTTGAAGCTTGTATATGTGTACATGACGCCCAGATACCCTGAGACACATTCGTGGATATAGAGCACATCGCTGTCACTCCAAGGGCACAAGCACGGTCCAAGTGTTTCTATGCAGTGTGCCATGCTATGCTACAAATCTTCCACGGTGATGTACAGATTCTTACAGCTGCCAGCCGCTATCACGCACTCCTTTACCTCCGCCGTAGATACCAATTATGAGCTAGAGTATTTATCTCCGTTCCGTAAGGTGTCGGCACCTCCGCTAAGCCTGGTCTCGCAACCGGATGCCTTAGATACACCGCCGCGCATACTCTCTGATGCACCTCCAAGTATCGGGGCACAAATGCAAATGCGGACATCCACTCTCTAGGCCGCCAAGGAGTAGCATACGGTTTTGATGGATCCACAGGGTTCTCGCGCGCGTCTTTGAGAGCGTCGCGGAGAGTCTTGAGTTGGGTAGAGTCGAGGGTGGCGGCTTCCGCCTGAAGTTCGGGCGTTGAGAGTACGGGTACTTCTGGTGTTGGGGGTGACGGTGATTTAAGACCGGTATTCGGTGCTGTAGTCATACGCGCTACTATTTCTGCTAATTGACTGTCGAGCGAGGTCGCTGTCAGGGTCTTGGGGCGGCCTAAGGTGCGTTTCACAGTCCTTTGAAAGGCGCGGAGATCTTGCTTTCGTTTTGCAGTCAGAGAAGTTGAAGGAGTTGCGAGAAGTTCTTTCGCTTGGCTGAGGAGAGACTGAAGGCTTTCTTTGGGGGTTTTGTCCGTGGTGGTGGGTTCATGAGATGGGTCTGACTTGGGCGTTTTGGGCTCGGCATCTTCAGAGCCTTCAGAGTTGGACGCTTTCTTGGAGTATCTGGCCCGTATCTTGCGGCCAGCGCGACGCTCGAATCTATCTTTTGGGGCGCCGGTGGCATAAAGCACGCGATCAGGCTCCACTTGAAACATGTCGCCTGGGTTCAATTGATAGCCTGGGTAGATCATCTGCGGACCGTGAGGTTAGCTATGTGCTAGCAAACATCTCGAGAGCAATGAGGACCTCCTTTCCGTTGACTCTGACATATCCATGTACCACGAACTGGCGGGCCTGCCTCGTACTACTTGCGAACAGAGCCCTGAAGATAGCGGTATCCAGCCTCCGCTCGGTTGGCGCATATGTCATGTTGAGGTATGGTGTCCGTGGGAACGGCTTAGGTTTCTGATCAGGAGGTGGATCAAGTCCTGATCCCCTCCCTTCGGCCTGTTCTGATCCATCCTTCTCTGCTAGCATCTTATAATCCATTGGCACAACAGAGCGAATTGTTCGTCGGAACATCCTGGTCCACTGCTTCTCTCTGATAGTTTCGCCATGGTATGCTCTTGTCAAAGCTTTGGCGGTCCATTTCTGTTGGAAAAAGGTTCTTTCGATATTTTTGGGCTGCTCGACTCGAGAGAGATTGAACAGGTTGTATTTATTCCATGACTGTCGAAGTTTCTACGAGATGTATTAGTCATTCTTTAATCTCTAACACGTATGCGCCGAATATAAAGACTTACTATTCTCTTGAGACCATGAAACCTTTTGCGCATGGTCAATCGATCTGGTATGAGTGAGTGGTAGTCAGTTCTGTCAGGGCTGTCGCTATAAATTATCAGATCACTAGAATTCGCGTTCGCTGCAGGGATTTAGTGGTTCACCGTATTCTAGTCGGAGCCGGGAAAAACTGCCCCGCTCGTTTGACAGAGCTGTCCCTCCCACTTTTTCATGACTCTAAGGTAGTTAACCGATCCACAATTCTCCGCAGAACATTCTCCAAGGTACACGAGGACATTGGATCGAGACCCAATCACTGCTTCCCATCATCTATATACCATTTGACTTGAAGACCCTGTCCCACTAGAGTGACTGGAGAGCTATCAGTCCTTCGATATTTATGCAAAGCAGTCTCTAATAGGATCTTCTAAACAAAAGGTAAAGCCTTTAGCCTCACGTCTGATGATTTATTAAATTCGCATCATGTTTAGGGACTTTTTCTTTCTGTCAACGGTGGAAAGGATATGGCTGAGACTGACAGTTGCTTAGAGAAGAGTCTACCCAATATGGAGGTGGAAGAGGTAACCAAGCCTGGAAGCGAGGACCAAGTAGAAGTACCATCGCTTGGCCAGTCGCAAGATACAATTGAAAGATTGATTGAAGAGTCAAAATCGGAGAGTCAGACCAATGGCACCGAAGCAGCGTCTGCCGGAAAGAGCGCCAAGAGCCCAGTGGAGCAGGAAGAGAAGACGCGCAAGGAACCCGAGAAGGAGAGTCCAAGCCAGGACGGACCTTCGAAGAGGGTTCGAGAAGGACAGAAATGGAACGACAGACCTCGCAAACAGTATGGCAATCCCAATGATCGTCCACACAAAAGGCACAATAACAAGTCGGATCTCGTTTCTCAACAAGAGAGTAGCGATCCTGTTGCCATTCGCAAACAAGTGTGTAATTCTCCGATGTTATATAACTTCATAAAGACTGACCGCCATACCCAAGGTCGAGTTCTACTTCTCAGACTCCAACCTTCTGACAGACAAATTCCTGTTCACAAAAGTCGAAGGCCATGAAAATCTACCAGTCCCAATTAGTACCATCCACTCGTTCAAGCGTATGCGCCACTTCCAGCCCCTATCTGCCATTGTCGACGCTCTCAAAGAGAGTACCATCCTAAACGTCGTCGAAGATGACACGTCCATCCAGCGAAAAACCCCGCTACCTGAAGGTCTGGTAGGTAAGCCAATGGTAGAGATACAAAAGGTTCACGAAGACAAAACCATGGCTCGAAGTGTCTACGCAAAGGGTTTTGGGGAAGAACGGCCAAGCACTCAATTTGACATTGAAGCATACTTTGCTCAGCACGGCCCCACCAACTCTGTGCGTCTACGACGATCGTATGACGGTACCTTCAAGGGAAGTGTGTTTGTGGAGTTTGACTCGGAAGAGACCCAGAACGCTTTCCTCGCTCTAGACCCCAAACCTAAGTGGCAAAGCAATGAGCTGCAGGTCAAGAGCAAGAAGCAGTACTGTGATGATAAGGTCGATGATATTGCAGCTGGCCGTGTGAGGCCCAACGAAGATGATCGTGCTCATCAGAATGGTAATCGTGACTGGGCTGGTCGTGATCACGATAGGCGGGGAGAGAAAGGTGTCAGACGCGATAGAGACGACAAGGATGACCGGGATTGGAGGGTTCGTCGGGAAGAAGACCGCAAAGGCGGCTTCAAAGATAGAAATGGCGGAAAGCACAAGGGTTTCCGCGGTTCAGAACGCGGTCGAGGAGGCGGCCGAGGCAGAGAAGGCCGAGATAGATCTAGGAACAGGAACGATCAGAGGAGAGAGAGAGACGAGCGGTAAGTTCGTGTGCTTCTGAGACGCACTATCGATTCACCTGATGCAAGACTCATTCTAACAAAACGACAGCGGAGTTCCAAAAGTCAGGACCTCAAGCCCCGGATCGGACGACAAGGATAGCCCAAGCACAGAAAAGCCGGTCAAAGACGAAGCCAAAGAGGCTACCGACACTTTGACGAAAAATGACGGAAAGGCAGTGGATGCGACTACAGCACCACCTGAAGCTCCTCCAGATGCTGCTGCCGATCCAGGCTCGAAGAAGCGTGCTCGGGAAGACGACGATGGAGCAGAGGAGCAGGGGAACTCTAAGAAGGTCGATTCAAAGGTCGAGGAGTCGTGATGTGAAGTTTGCAATTAGAGAAGAGGTTCATTCTGCAGTGGTTTGCTGATGATCATGCATGCATAGAGAGAAGATGGCATTGGCTTTCCATTTTTCTGTCCTCAAAAAGTATCAAGATACCAGTCTTGCTTGTACATATTGCTTTTGCATACTGTTTTTCGGCCACAAGGATAGCTTTGATATGAGGATATTGTTGAAAATGAGAGATAACGATGAGTGCTAGTGGATACTTGATTAATGATTAATGGCAAAGACTACAACAACGTGATGGGTCTTGACCCTTATTATATCTCCGCGTAGAATAGAAATGGAGCCAATGTCTACGTACTTCCTCTCTTGAATCACAATCTAACCCAAGTGGTGGCAATTGGGAGTCGTCAGGGTATCACGACAAGAACAGCAAGGGAACAGTGTTCGGTGGCATACGACTCTTGTCCACTCTTTTCGTGTACGGAGGAATTTGTGGCGTCCATTTCGGGTGTACAGGCAAAAGGAGAAATTGACCAAACCACCACCAAGCATTTCCAGCAGACATAATATTTGGAGAAGGGCGTTTTCCTCTATGTACATATGGTGTACAGGATCAGACGCCGCCTAATGAAGCCTGCTGATGCACGCAAAACATTTCCACAAGAAGCGCTTAGATCTTGCAGCAGCAAAATGCTGGCCAGGTATATCCATCCGCTTCCACCCCCAAAACTCACACAAACACCTCTCCACCATCAACAAGTACCGGCTCCCAAGGCTTCTCTTCGGTAGCCTCGCTGGGCACCCTCACCTCCAACGGACTGTACAGGTACCAACCCTTCAATGCACCTATGGCAGCTCGAATTCTGGCTTCATCCAGACTGCTTCCGGATCCCTCTCCGAGTTTGTCCTTCCCTGCAAAGACACCAACCACGAAGACAGGATGTCGACTCTTTCTCCCAGTCTCACTCAATATTCTTGCCACAGGACTCTCAAACCCTTCTCTCGCACACAATTTACTCAGGTCCCTCGTTGGTTGTCGAAACTCAAACAACTTGCTCACATCCAAATGCCGACTGAGTATGTGCGCCTTGAAGAAATTATAAGCAGCCCTCTTCCCAGCATGTAGATACACAGCACCCATCAGCGCTCTCACAAACCCGGTGGATGCTACTTCGAGCGTGACCCCCCTCTTAGCCTTCCGCTGGGCGTCTTCCTGTCGCAGCTCGGGTCGCTCTGCGTAGTCGGTCTCGGTGCGCTCGATTTCGTCTCCGAAGTCGTCATCATAGACGGTCTGGCTAGTCGCGCCTCTGCGCCAGCCCCTTCTCTGCTGCTCTGGGTTAGGTCGCGTGCTAGGATCTTCAGCAACTTTTGGGAGGTCCTTGAACTGTGTGCCAGTGCCGTTCACGCTTGCATTGCCCGCTTCCTGCCTTGTGCATTGTAGAACCCCAGGATCGACTTCTCCCCCTGGCGCTGCCGCCACTTCGACGCCCCATTCTCGCGTAACGGCCGCGAGAGTTTTAGGCCCACAGTAGGCGTGCATGGCGGCGAACGTGACTTCGGTGGGGAGACGAGGGTAGCGGCAGACGATGGCTTCGGAGGTGTAGTAGCCTAAGAGGTCGTAGCCGAGTATGGAGAGGGAGGCATTGTTGAAATTAGGGTTTGTATCGGCGGAAGGGTCGACAAGGCAGCGGGCAAGAGACTCTAGGGGAAGGCGTGGAGGGAGAACGAGTCGAGCATGTAAGGCGGAGAGGCGAGCGGAGGAAAGGGCGCGTGAGGGTGGTGGAGATGGGAGGAGGGTGTAGTGTGCTGGTTTTTGTGGCTCAGTGTCATCTTCTGGTTCTGAGATGGTTCTTATCGGTACTGCAGCGGAGGATTGAAGGCGGAGAAGAATGTTGAAAGGTTGAGGTCGATATCGACTCGGATATTTGTGAATGAAGCAGCATGGTCTCGTGCGCGGTGAGAGGACTGAGCCGCTCCATCGTAGGAGGTGCAAGGCTTTCATATAGGCATATGACAAGACGGTAGGTCCTCGGTTTTCCCTTTTCCCCCAATTGCTCAACGACTGTTCCTTAGGGATATCTGGAATGTTGATGTTGAAGCTGGTGCATCTTTAAAATTCTTGAGCCACTTCTAAATTTAATGGTCTTGTCGATCAATTCCGATGCCAAGGCCCTGAATAGAGTAAAGTCAGAAAGAGCGCACTTCCTCTTCGTCTTTAACAGAAACCCGATTACCACGCGCAATGGAGAAAGACCATTCGATCAAGTCGGTCGAGTCGAAAGGAGCGTCAGTTTCGCACTCTAGCGGAGGAAAGATACCGTAAGTAGAGCAAGGGCTGTGGATCCAATGGCTCTTGAAACTCCATTCTGTTCAGTCGGCTTACCCCATTTCAAGATATCCCAAGCATGTCTGGTCACCAGCAGGAGGATGGTATGCACAGCCAGCCAATTGGAAAGCAAACACAGCGGTAATGGGGGTGGTCGTCATCGGGATTACGGCAATTGCATGGAACATCAGTGCGGAGAGGGAGGTCAGGCCAAGAATGCCGGAGAAGGGGAGATTTTTCCCAAGTCGATAGTAAGAATACCCTATTTTCTACAAGTTAAGTGCGTATATACTGATGTTGGTCTATCTTAGTTGGAGCAGGCAAATAATAGAGCACGAACGGGCAGAAGCTGCCAAGGAAGCAGCGGCGAAAGGGCAGCAATAACGACAGGTCCATGCAGCTGATTACTGCCGGCGTTGCAGATAATCGACGAGCCTATGGGTATCACAAAGTGTAGATCAATTCGCTATCTCCTTTTGCTATCTTTCATGAGAAGGCCGTTACCAATCTTGGTAGATCCTCCACTTGCTCGAACCTTTGTCTTCATGAAATCCGCGTTCTCGCGTCTTTTATTGTGCTTCGCCTATGTACGAGACGTTGTGAGGTTGTACCAGTCGCCGCAGATCTCTTTGAGACCTCCCATGGTGAAAATTTGTCGAACAACTCGCCAGAGACTTTGGTGATATCGAGCTTCTCGACTCTCTCCCGCATCACGTCTAAGCGATCGAGACTTCGTTCACCGTTCCACAGCTCTTTCCCTTCATGGTAACTTAACGTTGGCATTCCGGATTGCTCGATGGCGAAACTGGCGCTGATGGAGCCCACTAATGCACTACCTTCAAATGCAGTGAGGCCGGGCCCAAGATCGCGCCACTCGTCCATCAGCAACCCTATGCAATAGCCTCCTAGGAATGCGTTGCCACCCCCAGTTGGATCCGTAACTCTGTTCTTCCAGGTCGCACGGTCTTCCTGTTTTACGTGCTTCAATGGCGTATGGTACGCTGGCAATGCAACATTTCGGGTGTGCGAAGCTACGAAGCAACCATCTTCCCCCATTCGGACCACTACGGCACTTGGCTTGAGTCCGAACCCTTGTGCGAGGAGCGTCTTGCAATACTGTTGGAGATCTTGTTGAGCTATAGTGCCCTCACCCTGATTGTCTTCGTTGAACAGGGCAAAGAGTTCGCGGTCATTGGGCGAAAATACGTCCACAAAATCCATTGCCTCAAAGACTGATTGCAGCTCGCTAGGCCGACAACAGTGCTCCATAGGCTCCCACACAATGAATGGCGTCTGGAATTGATCAGAATTCCATTGTGGGTGTTCGTTTTTAAGAGCCTTTCTTCGACTCATGATGCCCTTCACCAGTTCAATGCACCGAATAGGAGTGCAGATGAGGTGGTAGCTCTTGGACGTCAAGAAACGACCACTGAGCATTGCGTGGTCGACCCTGAATTTTAGATTCGTGGTCAGTATTACCTGTTTTCGAGGGGATCTCGAGGCTTGGAACAAGAATAAAAGCTCTCAAGATATGTCTCAAATTTCAATGTTTGGTCCAGAAGAGAAAGTATGGACACGGAAAATACGTACTGGATCTTAGGAGTCAGGAATTCAAAGTCTGGTCAAGTAAACATTGGCGTTGCTTCTCGAGATCATACCATTGACTTACCACGGACTCCTTCTTTAGAGTAGACGTTCTTCCCGCGAGTGGTCAACCTGTGCGGCGTCCTGACGAAGATGCTGCTCAGACACCAAGACTGAAGCTCAACTTTTGCATCCACTGGAAAATCACAACCTTCATGTACGATCATACCAACAGATTTCGAGTCCACCCCATTGCCTTTGATTTCCCGGAAAATCCTCGCGCCAAGAGCTGCGTAAATTCCGGCACCTCCAAGTACATTCGAATACAACAATTTGGGCGGCGATTCTTGATAGATGTCGTCTGACAAGCATTGGAGATGGTCTAGATATGAAAAGGGATTTCGGACAAGCTCACCAATGATGCACGAGCCTGCAACATATTCAGTTGACATCATGAGTTTAGCCAAGTAACTTATTCACCAAGCGTAACAAAGTCGATGGGGGTTTCTATCTCATCTTCTCCCGTGAAGTTGATTTGCTCCTTCTCGGGTATCAAGTGCTTTTCCGGCATGATGCCTCTGATTGGTGCCAAAGTTAGAAGCTTGAGAGCGGACCAGATGGCTAATGCTGGGAATCCGCCAAGGAATCCTTGTGATTGTAGGCAGGCAAAAAAGGCCGTTGTAGCGAAAACAAACCAAGTCGTTGCAGGCCAGATCTGCGTGTAGAACCGAATACTGTCAAAATTGAGCACTGCGCAGACTTTAGAGTAGACACATTTGGAGAGCAGAAATATCCTTTCGCTGCCGAAACACGGCATTTCACTCGAGTAACAAGACAATTCTGGAGGATTCACAGTGAAGGAGCTGTCTGCTCTCGAAATCTGAATTGTGGGCCCTAATGTGCTATCGAACAGGGAAGTTTCATTCCGAAAATACATACATCTACAGTACTACTGTACATTCTCAACACTGAACCCGTCGTCCACTCTCCAGGCCTTGTAGTCGTGAGTAACTTTGTCTACTTTACTTTAAAGAGCGGGTCGGCTCGCGATTGGAGCGGTAAAGTACGAAAAGGTACTAGAGGGATTAGTTAGGGGCCTTCGGCTCTATGGCTATTTAGTGTGATCCATTAGATAACTAGCTTAATTATATATTTTCCGATAAAATTATAGAAGCTATGAACTAGTTAGTTATAATAATAATATTCTAATAATTATTAGGCAGCTACTAAAGAACAAGAATAACCAAAATGTTTTGGTTTGTGTAGATTTTATATTTTTTTTTTTGGTGTGGTTGATTTTTTTGGGGTTTTAATAAAAATAAATAAATTTAAAAAAAAAAAAAAAAAAAAAACAACCGCCCCCCCCCTACTCCACCTTAAAAAAAAAAAAAAAAAAAACCCATAACCAATTTATATTTAAAAAAAATAAAAATTATTTTTTTTTTTTTTTTAAAAAAAATTAAAAAATATAAAAACAAAAAAAAAAAAAAAAAAAAAAAAAATTTATTTTTTTTTTTTTTTTTTTTAATTTAAAAAAAATAATAAATAAAAAATTTTCCTTTTTTTTTTTTTTTTTAAAAAAAATAAATTTTTTTTAAAAAAATAAAATTTTTTAAAATAAAAAATTTTTTAAATTTTTTAGGGGGGGTTTTTTTTTTTTTTTTTTTTTTTTAAAAGGGGGGGTAGTAAAATTAAGAAGATAGCCTATAAAAGTAACGAATTTCTTGAGATAATCACCGTAAAATGCGTGTTTAATTTTTCGGTTATTGAGTTATATAAGTATAAAAGATCTTTTATAAAATCCATTATATTCATTTATTCAGAACAGATCTCTCTAGCGGGCTTTTAGCTTTTCTATATTTTTCTAGTATAATATAATTAGATCGTTAATATAATGCGTAACTTGCTTAATCTCTTTATTATATCGGAAAGTTATATCTTTCTTCTACTAATTTAAACGTTATCTAATCATATTATAAAGATTCACTTAATAAATAAGATATTATTATACGATTTAAGTATAATTAATTAAATTCTTTAGCTAAGTTATCTAAGTAGGAATATTATATTTAAAAAGTATACGTAAGGTAGATATACTAGTAGAAGCTTTTAATAGCGATTCGAAAAGAATACTAGTAGAAGAGATTTTTAGATATTCGATAATTCGTATATTAATAGAATCTCTAGTCTTTAATAACCGCTAATTTCATTTTAGTTCGATATAAAGAGAATTCTTACGAAGTACCGCTTTCAGTAGTTTATTATAGACCTCGATTATTCTTATACTTTTAGAAGTATTAGAAGAACTATATATAATCGTAATACCTTTAAATCTTAAGAATTCTTTTAATTTATTATTAAAGAAATGCTAATCGCGATTGAGGTAGTAGATATAAGACTTTCTATATATAGTAAAGAATAACTTAAGATATTATATAACGTTCTTTACATTAGTAAATATAATAGTAAAAGAAATTATAAATCTACTTATATAGTAGACTTTTACGAGTATAAAAGTAGATTCTACTTTAATAGTCTTAAGTAAGCCTATAAAATCTATTTCTATAAGTTAAAAAGAATATATAACTTTAATAGAATATAAAGACTAAGATCTAATAGTAGGTCTATACTTAATATACTCGAGATACTCAGTAATATACTTCTCGATATCTTATACTTTCTTAGGCTAGTAATAGCTACGTAGTCTTACTAGAATATTAGTCTTAGCCTAATATTCACTTTTATTATAAACTTCTTAAAATATAGTAAGCATCTTTTCTTCCGACACGTAAGATAAATATATATCTCCTCGAAAGATCTATAGAATATATCGTATTATCTAATATTTAAAAGCTTTTCAAAGCAGCGTAATAGTAAAAGTCGAAGATTCTACGATAAGAAATTCGTAGATTTTATCGAATTAGATATTGCTGCGGTAGGCTTTAATCTAAATCTTAACATTTTTATTAATCTTATCGAAGGCTTTTATAAATAGTTTCATAGCTTTTATAGCAGAAATAGCTTTTAAAGAGAAAGAAGAAATATTATATAGCGTGCCCCTATTAATAACTTTAAGTTATTCCGATTTAATGAGTACTACTAGAAATAAATCGAATCTATTCTTATTATTCTTCTAGATCTATTTTAGACTATAATTCTTTAATTTATATCATACTCGTATAACTATAATATTCTCCGAGTATTTAATATCGAATAAGATTCTCGATAAGCCGTCGATAGCTTTATTTCGAGGCCTAGATATATATTAAATAATGAGATTTAAGCGATAAAGTTTATTAGCTTAATGTCTATAAATTTTCTTATAAAGATCTAAGTCGAGAAAGTGCGTAAGAGGCTTATAATTAGTGTGTATTATAGTAGACTAATATAGATACTTATATAAGTAGTTATACTTCTTATAGAACGTGATAATAGCGTAGAGTTCTCGCTTATAAGTAGGGTACTTCTTTTAAGTGGGATTAAAGGTAAACGAATCGTATAAAATAAATACTTTCTTATCCTTTTCTATTACGATAGACTTCTAAGATTATAAAGCTTCTAATAGAATAGCTTCTTATAGCGTAAGAATATAATATTATATAATAGTATACTTAGCTATAAAATCGAAAGCATTAATATATATATAAACGATTCGACTTAAGTTAATATTATATATACTTATTCTTATAATATATTTAATATGTAAGATCTTAAAGGATAGCTATTTTACTTAAGTTTACCGCTATTTCACCTTTCCTATAAGTCTAGAAAGAGATCTCATAATTTCCGCGAAGTTCTTTACCCACCGACACGTAATATCTATAATTTCTAAAAAACCTCGAACTTCCGACTAATCTAAAGGAATAGACTATTTAGCTACTTTAATAACCCGTTTCTTAAAAATATAAATATATTCTTTAATAATATAAATTATATTAAGAGCTTTAATTAATAATATAAATAGTCGTAATTTCTTAAAGAATAAAAGCAACTTAGCTTATTCGATTTTAGAAAAGAAGTAATACTATAAAAAGGAAAATAGATTCTCGAAGTTATAAAAGTTATCGAAAAAGTCGTTTATATAAAATATAAGAGATAGTAAAATCTTAAGATTCGGCGAATATAGTAAAGAAGATTCTAAAGAAATAGAACTAAATACTTTATAAGCTAGCTTTATTATAATAAAATCTATAGACTATAATTTCTATTATATTCTCATAGGCTATATCTAATTAATATCTAAAATAATAAAAGTAAAATAATATCTATCGTTAGGATATAGAGGTATTATAAGATACGCGTACTTTAAATTAGCTAAAAATAAATATTTATAATATAAATTAGATAGATAATCGTAAACTTTCGAGCTTAGCTCGAGATAAGCTTCTGAAAAAAGCTCTATAACTCGTAAATAATCGAAAGTTATTCTAGACTTATTAGTAGATTTCGAATTCTCGACTTTATCTATTATAATAGCCCGTGTATTTTACTAAAATAGACGTCTATTTGCAGACTTAGTAAGTTTATAAATACTATCTTCGAGATCATCTTAAATAAACTTTCTCAGCTATTACTTCGTATGAAAAGGCTAACATTTCTAAGATTTCGAGAAAGTAGGCTTTATATTAGATATAATGCGTACTCGATATATAATAAGATTCGTATAAGGTAAGTCTCTTAGATCTTCTCTATTAAGATGTTTATATTAATATAGTAGTTATAGCACTTATAGTCTCTACTCTACTATAGTAATAAGTAATTTAAAGATTAATCTCAATTCTAGCTTATTAGTCTATTCTTCAAGTTCTAATAATAAGAGATATTATAAAAGATTTCGGCGAATTATTCTTCTAGAAGAAAATACTTGTTTAAGAGATATTTATAAAAATAATAGTGCTAGCGTTCTCGAAGCACTAAAGACTTCGATAGATTAGCCGAGAAAGTTTATGATAGTTACTTACTTTAGTAAAGAAAAAGAATTAAGAACTTTAAAGGTAACGATAGAGATATTTAAAGGGCTTAAATTCTTAAGATAGACTTTTACGAGCTTTGATAATTTAATATTCTACTTAAGATAGACTTGATTTACTAAAAATCCTAACGCTTAACTTTCTTAATATCTAATAAGTTATCTCTAGAATTAGAAGAATTATTAAATTCTGAAGAATTAATTTCCTTAATAAAAGCCTTTAACTTATTCTACTTAATAGCCTTTAAGATAGTTATAATAAACTTAAAATACATTAATAAATTATAATCTTTATAGAAAACCATTTCCGAACCCACGATTCTTCGAACTTTCTCGCCTTTCGATCTGTCTCTTAAGAAAATAATAGAAAGATAAATTAAAATAAAAGCATTTATAGTCTAAAGTTACGGAATTCCAAGAATTAGACTAAGATATTTAGATCTTTCTAATTCTATAATAGATATAACTTTCGAAATTACAAAGTATCGAATATTTCTTTAGATTTCTTTTATATCAATCGTAAGTTACACTTAATATTCTAATACGATATTACGATAATCCGCCATATATATAAAAAAGACTTTTAAATCTAATCTTCGAAA